GGCACAGAAGTGCATCTTTCCCAGTTAAAAAGGACTGCATGAGGCAGTTTAATTGACAGGGGTTAACTGCTTCATAGGCTGTGAAGCTCTGAGCTGTGAGCTCTCACCCACAGATGTAGGGCAACATGAAGAAGATGTCTGGAGCTCAGGCTTCTGGTTACAGATGTACTGGCAAGTGGCAAGACTCTGGGGGAACGGTGTGGTCTAGACCATTAATCCAACTCAAACAGTAGCAATTCAGTCTTTTTTGACTGAGTGGGATGAGAACAGTTTAGAAATAAAAGTGTCTTATGTGTTTTTTTAAAATGTCACAGCTACTTTCTTCAGTAGTTTTTTTTCTTTTTTAACAAAACTCCCACCCCAATATTCAGGCTTCTTTGGTTGTCAACAAAAAATACCACTAGAAACCACAGCCTCCTGTTGTTTTCTGCATATTTATAATTTTGCAAACCATTCCTCCTTCCCTCACGCAGCCTGTCACACTCTTCAGCTCTGCAATTCTTCTGAATCTATTCCTGGCATGTTATCTTCCCTCCCCATCCAGAGTGGCTGTTTAATTAACAGCATGTTGAGTTGTGAAGGGCTGGGGGAGGCCATCACGAGTGTGCTGCTTCCCCAGCCAGTGACTGCCACGAGCATTCCTTGCAAGAAGGGAGCAAATCAGCATGAAACTCTTGTGCTTACTGTTTGGTGAGCTTGCTCTTTTTCTTATCACTCTACAAATATGTTGAGATTTGCCATCTTACCTCCTTTTTTATTTTAATTTGGATGTATGTGATGATTGGAGAAGTGTGAGATGAGGAGAAAGAGCTGAGACCTGTGCACTCCCAGGGATTCCTGATACACAAACAGATGGGAAGAAATCTGGGGACCAGAACAGGGTTGGTCCTTTTAGTCTTCTGGTGTGGGAGTTTAAAAGCTGATGTCGTGCCTGTCATTTTTGTGCTGTGAAACACTGCCATTGCCCTTTGTAAAAACCCAGCACAGTTCAGCCCTGTGGGCAACATAAATGGTATGCCAACAGGGGAAGAACAGGTGGCTTAAGTTAGTCTAGATGTCTCCAAACCCTTCCTTGCTGAAAGGCTTAAGCCTAAAGAAAAGTTTAGCTAAAGCTCTGTCTAAGAGAAAATCCCAATATTCCTCTCCTATGTCAATGAACAGAACCCACTCCTGGTAAACCAGTCTTTGTTTTTGAACAAGGGTGATTTAGTACTGGTTTGTAATTAAACCCTTCTGCCTCTTCATCCTTTTGCTCTCCCAGTTAACTCTCAAGAGTAAAAATCCTCCAGCTGTTGGTAAAAGGAAGCAATGGAGAAGAGGGAAACTTGCCCTTTGGGTGAAAGAAGGGATAGAAGGGTATAAGGGCTTCCTCATGGATTAAAAATGAGGGAAGTTTAGGTCTTGTGTCAGTGTTTCTGAAAACCTGACTTGCACAGCTTCTTCCCCTGTGGTTGTACCCATTGATGTTAACCAAGACAACACTTCACTACACTTGGAGGCCCCTGGGAGAGGATTGGTTTTCTTTCCTCTACTTTCTCCTTTTAGTGTCTTGCTTAACTAAATTCCAGAATTTTCTGAAGGTTTGCTGCTAAGGAACACCACACCCCAGAGTTCCCTTAGGGGAGAGATTTCAGTTTCAAGTTAGATGAAAAACTAGCATGAATTCAAAAAGGTACAAATTGGCTACCAATGAAATCTGACTGCAAACTGGAAGACTTCTTCAGCTTTGAGGAATTAAGCCCTGGAGCATCCGTCCAAACAGTGTAACAGAGGCAAGGGTCCTAGCTGGCTTAAGATAATGTTTAGCAAGGTTATGGAAAGGAGTGTAAGACAGGATAGATGAATGATTATGTAGGAAGGGCAATGTATGATAGCAGCCAACATTTAGATCTTAAGGGCAGGATGTGTTTGTTCCTGCTCGAGTCAGCAGCAACTTCTTGGTTCACCCCTGCCTTGCTTTGAAGGTGTGCAAGCCATTTTCCAGGATCATGGTTCCAGCTCTTTCCCAGTACCATGCTATAAGCACTGCTTCTCCTCTCTCTCTGGTGGTCCTGGTATTTGCTGCTGGGACTGGGCAGGGTGTATGTTTGTTGGTTTTTTTCAGGGACTGACAAGCTCTCCTCTGAGCTCATCTGGACCATCCGGTTGCAGGCTGACATGGGGGTCTGCCTTTTACTGGTTCTCATCAGTTTAGGATTTTGCAAAGGTCTTTTTGCTTTGCACACAACATTGTGTGAAAGGATGCACATGATGCTTTTTTCCCTTTTTTTTCCTCCCTCTTCAGTACAGATTTTACAGTGGCAGATGAACAAATTAAGTTCAAATCTGCTTCCCACACTCTCCTCCCTTCCCAAAGGTGCAACCTGACAGATTTCAGTCTCAGCTAGTGATGTTGGCATTGTAACTCCGATTGCTCAGTCTCTCACCTCGCTCAACTACTTTTACCTTGTTTGTGTATTTTTACATGTTTATTGTGGGGCCTGGTGCCAAAATCCTTTAGCATCGTGGGAAGGTGCAATCATCTCTTAGCAAACCACTCCTCACTGCTTCCACACAAGTCTCATGCTCTGTATTTTAGGAGGCTGGAGCAATTAGCTGAAGTTGCATCAATTAGATATGTTAGAAACTATCCCAAATAAGTCATTGCAAGTTAATAAGTAGTTTAGGAAAATGACTGCCAAGTATTTTTCTCTATGTTTCCATGTTCTGGAGTCTGTGTAAATCATGGTAATGTTCACATTGTCACAAATATGATTTAAAGCTGTGGCTCTCTGGAGTGATGGGTAAAGGTAGGGAGGCAAACCTTTCCTATAATTTTATTAATATGGAATGAAACTACAAGTAAATGGGTGTGTTTGATGAGACCACCTATATAGGCATTGGATTTAGGGGGTGTCATAGGTGTAAAAAACATTGCTTGAATGCAAACACATGGTGGGCAATTGGGTGTGCACACATGAATGTCCAAAACACAACTTTCAGCCTCCAAAGAGAAAGCAGCTGCTTGTGAACTACAACTGGCACATGGGCTGGTTGTAAGTTTTACCACCACCTGGACTAACCCAAAGTAGTGTATTCCAAATTCTCTTGTGAACAAGGGGTCATGAGATACAAACAATGCTGGAGAGCCTGCCTGTGCCTCATCCTCTGCCATTCCGACAGCTGGGACTCAGACACCCTGCTTCTGGCAGTTCCAGGTGCTGCCAAAAAAGAAGTGCTTAAAATCCCAACAAACCCAAAACAGTGGTCTGGGAAGAAGGTTATGATCCTGAATGGATGGAAAATGTTGAAGTGAGGGCTCTGCAGGGAGCTGAACACCAGGAGACAGCCAGGGTCCTTTGGCAAGCCCACCACTGGCTTATTAATAAGCAGCTGTGTGTCCCAGGGGGAGACAAAACCAAACCCCTTTTCACATACTGATGAGAGACAGAATAATTTTACATATTGTCACTGGTGAAAAACAGTCAGTTTTTCAATTTTTTTAAAACTTTTATTCATTTTTTTTAGAAAAGGAATAACTCTGCATGGTAGAGTGTATGGTATATAATTTCAAAACAGAAGAAGTTATATGGAATGGATTATTTTCCCAAACTATTTAAAGTTGAACCTAAAATCATTTGTAAATCAACACTCATTGCCATGTAAGACAAAGGAAAACAATCAACGTGTTTTCTGTTTGGTACAGATTTTCTCTACCTCTTCAGCCTGAATTTTCCCAGGGTTGGGCAGAAAAGGGGGGCAAATCCTGCCCATTGTCCTAATCATAATTGTACTGACCAAGCTTTGTGCTCTGAGATCTAGCAACATATGGCTTTATATATGTTCCTAAGTGAACAGTGCAACATCATCACCACCTTAAGTGTTTATTCCACATTCAAACTGTAACTGAACATCACTCTGAAACCCTTTTCTGCCCCCAAAACAACAGCAATAACAATGAGAAGCAGAAAGTCTCCAGCAATCAGATTTCATCCAGAAATCTGTGTAAACTGTAGATCAGGGTTGGGTAGCAGCACAGAAGGCAAAAGATGTGACAGCTTGATTCAATAGCATCTCTAAAGACTACTCTAAGACTGTCATTCTTTAGTCTGCATCTTGCAATCACAATTTGCTTTTTCCCTGCAATGCTATAAAGCAATATAAGAAAAAAATCAGACTCAAAAGCAAAAGGTAGAAGCCTTCGTGAAAAGGTAAAGCTTCTGCTTAGCCTTGAGTGGTTGCTATTAGAAACAGATGTCCACAATCAGAAACAAATCTTGAATGTATATACACAATTTGGGTGGAAAGGGACACGGCCAAGGGTGAAAGCCCTCCTAGCTGACCCACAAACTGTTTTGGATTGTAGGTCCACACCACACCCACTGCCTTTTTGGTCTGAATAAACCAGCAAGGCAGCCGCAGGCTCCAGGTGCACTCCAGGCTCTTGGCTCCACTGCTCCTTGGCTGTGTGGGGGCCAGGCGAAAGAGGAGGAAGAGGAGGAGGAGGGAGTAAGATTGCCCCCCCTCCCCTCCCCTCGCAGCTGGCTGAGTGACGCATCAGTTGCAGCGACATGGGACGTTACACTGGGAAGGTTTTAAGTGCATACTTTTCTCTTTACCCTCTCCTCCCCAATCCTGTTGGAATGTATCTATATCAGTAATCAAGTAAGTATTACTAGGAACTGTAAGCTAGCATGGTCACCCTCCCCTTTAGAATGGGGGGAGAACAATAGCATCAAACAAACTCCCATTTGTCCTGATGTGTAACCTTTCCAGATCCTGTAGAGCAATTGTACGCAGGCTTTCTTCATACTAAAATTTAAAAGAGTCAAAGCTGGTAAAGAAACTGGATGTTTCCTGGCTTAACTGAAGGAAATAATCAAACTGATTAAAGTAAGAGTGAAAGAAAGTAAGCATTAGTGTGTTCGCATCCTCTGATATGTCCCACTTCTCTATGTTCTGCTCACAAGCCCTTTTCATACTCTGAGCAAGCATTCCCAAACTTAGAGAGGTAAGGCTTCAGCTGAAATCTCACAGTTGAGACTATTATTTATTTTATAATTACCACAAATGTAATAACTTGACTTTAGCAGATCCATGTGGGGCATGTTGAGGACAAGGCTTGTTAAGTGAACCAGCACAGGAGAAGATTGGACAGGGGTGGAATCCCACATGATAACAGCAACTGAACAATATCCATCAGCACGGCATTAGCTTAGTGTGGATATAGCATCAGGAGCTGGGATAAAGCCTTTAAGCTTTCTGGGTGTCCAGTCAGAACCAGGGAAGCTGCAAGAAGTTTTACCATAAAACTCCAGCACTGCAGTGTCTAAAGGACCTGAATCTCAATGGGCACAGATTTTAGGTTTTGCACAGCCAATCCTAATTAAAACCCCAGAAGTACATTGGCTGATGCCCCTGCTGTTGGAGCCTTAAGACACCCATTACATTGCTGAGCCCTACACTTTTTTTTTTTTAATAAAACACTGTTTTAAGATAAAGCACAATGAATGTGCTTATTACGCACTCTAACATAGAGCACAGAAATACAACACTACAGAGTGCAAGTCTAACCATCTCCACAGTGGGAAAAGTGCGAAGGTTAAAAATATGCATGTGGCTTAACACAAGATATTTTTAAAAAACATGACACGGAAATCTTATACTAATGCTTTCGTCTTTACCACAAACATGACTGAAAACTTAAGGTCAATTGCTGATCCTTCTCTCGCAGTAGTAGTAGTAGTAGTGTAATCCTTTCAAAGGTACAATGTTGGAAAGATCAGAGAATAAAAAAACCCAAGTGTCCAAAAATGATCCCATTTGCCACTTTTCCAGTAGTTACGTTTTTCAAGGAGTAAACGTGTAAGGTCACCTTGATCTTCACCATCAGTAACTGATACACTTGGAAACAGCTAAGCCAACCACCTGGACTGAGATCAGTTCGGTGTCGCACACACACACACACACACACGGATACACACACAAATACCCCACAGGAAAAAGTGCACTTTCAATTGCTGATACAAAAATAGATTGGCACATTCTTTTTGACACAGTGAAGATATCTTCTTTAAAAGCTTTTTCACTTTAAGAAGTTCTCTTGGAATTTGCAGCAGGTCTGTAGAAAAAGCGCTACAAGAATGCACTCAGTGGGCTTCCAGGGTTTGTGTGATGGACAGAGGGGTGGTCATGGAGGCTGCCCTTCTAATTTTTGCCTACTTTTATAGCTGTAGTCCCTACAGGCAGGGTCAGTCGCCACCCAGTTTCAGCATGTGAACTATTTACCAACAGCTCAGTCTTCACCTGCTTTGAGAAAGTAACGATACATAAATTCGTCAAAGCCAAGAGTCAATGCAGTATTTCCTGTAGCCAGAAAAACTGTTTGGAGGGGGGGAGAGAGAGAGTGAAGTGTTAGGAGTCTGATTTTGCGTTTCCAGTAGTAACTGCGGCCTGGGAGAGCCAAGCGGGAACATCGGGAGCCCCTTCCCCGCCGGGCAGCCAGCGCTAGGAGTTCTGCACCAGGCGTCTGTAGTGCGGCATCACTTCGTGCTCGGGAAGGTGGAGAGCAAACTCCAAGGCCACCAGCACCGGGAACTCGAAGGCGATCAGCTCCCGCCTGTTCAGCCGGAACTTCTCTTCCAGTTTCTGCAACCACAGCCGAGGGGAAAAAGTATAAATGAACAAAAATGGAATGAGGGTTTGCCTTTTAGAGCTTTCCCACAAATGGAATTATTCAAAACACGCATGCTGCTGTCATTAAACTTCTGTCCTGATGGATTTGCATGGCTCTAGGTTTAGAAAGCCAGAGCTGTGTGAACTGGATGTTCCAAATCCTTACTGTGAAGGTGAACTCACAGAGCTCAGCCAGCCCTGCTATTTCTAACATGTTCGTCACTTCACTCATTCCACTGTGAGCAGATACATCTTCTAACAACCACAGTGATTACCACTGCAGCAACAGGAAATTCCTAGCTTCATGCAAACATCAAAATCACTTGTGTAATGGAAGACATGCATCTTGTAATTGTCCAGAAACCTCCTGCACTGCTTGAAGTCACTAGTTTTCCTTTCAGCATTAGACTGTGCTACAACGCCCTGTTGGGGAAATTATTTTGCCACAATTTGATCTTAATACCTCAGAGGCAGAAGGTGTTGTAAGAACAGAGAGTAATAGAAACTGCTATCCTCAAGGGGAATGAGATGGGTTTTATAGTTGTTTTTGTGCTGTGATGTACTAAACCTCCCATATGCTCTGCTGTTTTCACTGGATTTGGATGCTACAAGTAGGCAATCAGCTGCTCAGGCATATTTCCCCCTCATCCTCTTCTTAGGATCTCCCTGGCCTGCTACTTCTCTGCCCACTGGGTTTACTACAAAGTTCAATGTCTTATGCACCAACATTTCAAGATACCAAGAGAGGCCAGATCTTCCAATTCCTACTTGACTGATTTTTTTCCGGTTATTCAGAGGGCTTTCTAACAAACTGACTGTCAACCCAGCTCTGTGACTGTGGGAGGAGGGCATGAGTCCAGTCCTGCCCCCATCCACGATCCCATGTTTCTTCCTTTGAGTGAGCTGGTTGTAGCCACATACCGAGACACCAGCCTAACTTTCTGTAGCATTAAATCAGATTGGTACCTCAGTGCTTGCAGAGGATTATGGTACAACACCCTCATGTTACCTCTTTCCTGTGGACTGCATAGAAGACCAAACACCTTACTCTGCAAAAAAACATCTGGAGTGAGGTGCTCTAATGGGAAAACCTCCTTAGGTTTTCTTGTCCAAAAGCTGAACTTGATAAAAGAAATACAAATGTCTATTGGACTCCATCTGAAATTAGCATCTGCATTTAATTCCCAAAGGAGAATCCTTACTGACACTCTTGAAAACATAATTAAAAGCAAAACTAATTTCCTGAAGGTTCACCTGTTGCCTTGTATTGACAAAATGATGGTCATATACATCTCAAACCTCACAGTACCTGACACCAAGGCCTTCTATCCCATCAAACAAGCTTCCCATGCTTCTGCAGGGACATCGATCATTACTACTTCCACAAACATGCATAACAAATAAAGATATTTAGCTGGCTGTACATCTGGAAGCCTAAAAAAGAGCATATCCACTGACTAACAGAGTTGCACAGACCACACACTGGCACTTCACATAGATGGAACACCAGAAACCTATGGATACGTACATCTATAAGATGCTTGACTTCATGTTTTCTGAGGTCACTGCCAATTTTGGCTGCTAAAAGAACACAAGCTCCAGCACAAAGCTTTCTATTCTGCTTGTTCAGCTTCCCCTTGAGAGCGAGCTTCTCAAAGTAGACAAAGGCCATGGCCACTGTGGGCTCTTCAAAACCACATTCTTCTTGAGCAAGCTTGCGCATTTCTCTCTTCAAGCTGAGTAAAGAGACCAGACAAGTATGCTGTGAGATGAGTTTTAAAGCATTTCTCATTTCACCCTAAGAGCCATGCTTTCAGAGATTCCTGCTTAGTCAAATGGAAGGGAAAATATAATTTACTGGGCAGATATCTTTATGCTGTTTTGGGGCACATTTCATGGCACATTTATACATCACCAGTGACCCTCACTGCCCCCAACAGACAGTTGTGTCAAACTATAAAAGCAACCAAAAAAGCTCTGACAATTTTAGCAACAATATTTTATCAGAGGTCCTTCAATGCATACCATTTGTTTTGTAACAATGTTTTGATTACTGGTGCTCTGTATGCAGCTTTTGCTGCTGGTTATGGCTGGTCAAATCCAAACTGACAGTTCTGTCCGTGTACTGCAGCCCTGTCTGGTTACAGAGCAGTGTGGCTCAGTGTCCTTCTGGCCACTAGGGTCAAATGAAATTATCATTACTTCAGTGGAGCAATATGTCTAGCCTGCTACACCAGAAACGGAGATGGAATATTACAACTTTGCTGTGAAGCCAACTACTCTTTTTGCTTCTGGCCAAGGCACAAAAGCAGCACTTCTCTTTCCTCAGTCTCTTTTTAAGCCAATTGCCATGAGCTTAGAGACTCTGTTGGGTTATTTTTCTGGCTATTTTAATACAGTGCATGCCCAGCTCTCATCCTCACCCCATTAGATGCTGCGTTTGACACCTGACCAGCACATGTTTGCACATTCCTCTATCCTGTTTACTCATCCCAGTAATCCAAGCAGTCATCTGACTTACTCTGCACCTCTGCTGGTCACTGCTCCTGGAAGATCAATCAGTGCTGTGCTTCCCCTCATGCACAGCAGGAATTGCACTGACATGTGAAACAGCTGCATCACATTGCAGCCTTATGGAGCTTTGCAACATACCTTCTTATTTTACTGAGGGTTAGCTTGATGTGAGGGAACTTCTCCTTAAAGGTCTCATTCATGTCCTTCTTGAGATCTGATGGCTTCACGTAGTCTATGACCGTGGTCTGTAACACACGTCAAGAGAGAATTACTCTTTTAGTTTGTAACAAAGAAAATCGCTCGATTCCCAAAAGCAAGAAATCACAAACAAGTGCCAGTCAGTCCAACTTTTTCCTTTCAGCAGACAGGAAAATTAAGTCTGAACTAAGACAACTATTTACTTGTGACTGACAAAATAAATGACCTGTTCAGCACAAGCCTTGAACAATGCTTAGATCATTAGCATCATCTAAATATTGCTAAGAGTGATTTTAAGATGAATGTGGCTGGATGAAACCTACCTGAGAAGTCTTGCAAGACAAAGAAAATTCATCACAATAACTGATATGATGACCAGATTTTTGTGCATACCTCCATATGACTCTGAGACCCATTGTGAGTTTCCCTCAGGCTGATTCTTTAAAGAAACCACAGGTACAAACCCTTGCCTGCTGTAGCATACATTGATAATAAAGTAAGTAGCCAGCTTATATGGCAGGTCACTCAGTAGAGTGGAAGGCAGGAATGCTGTGGTAAGTTAGGCAGTAAATGGACAAAAGAGTCAGGACAACATTCAAAGCATACAGTCTATTTCCTATGAGCTTCCTATTCCTTTTTGTTACAACCTAAGGAATCTCCCCAAGTTGCAGAGGGTTCTCCTGGCCAACACAGCCCCTGCATCTGTGGGTGCCCAGCACTTCTCTTGTTCCCTTAGTCTTTGTTCAGGTAGCACTTTGCCCAAATCCTCTGTCACCATTCACCTGGCCAAAATCTAGCAGCTCAACAACAAACCAACCTTTATTTTTGGAATGTGTCAATTCTGTTCCAAGCTTTAGCAGTTCTGCCCATTGGACAGAAGTGGAGAGGAGCACCAGCTTGGGCACCAGAGGGACAGCCTGGTTCCCAGGCATACAGCCCCCTGCCAGCTTCAAGCATGTAAGAAAGCACCAGTGGATAGTGCAGTGCATTCTCCTGCTCATAAAATAATATTTCACTTCTGATTTCTGGTTTTGATTGATTTTTATTATGGCAAATGGCTGTTAACACCAAACAAGAGGTGGAAAGAGGTATGTGAAACCCATGCTGCATGTTATGCCTTTATAGAAGGTGGAGCTCTGTTGTGATGTATCCTCATGGGAATTGAAATCAGCCAAAAAGACTAACTGAATATGCTTTCAGGCTTTTTTTCTGTCATTAAAATAATATATGGAAGGGCTTGGGGAATACAAAGTGCAATGGCTCTAGAGAGAAAACAGACAATAAACAGACAATTCCCTTTATCCAGTCATGTTGTTCTCTGTTTCCAAAATAAGCATGAAGGAGAGTAAAACACACCTAACTTTTCCTGACTTTACTTATGAGGTATGGTACTGAATTATTAGGAAATCAAAACAGAGCAGAGCTTGTGTTTCTCCTGAATAGTGCCCAGCAGTATTTGACACAAACAAAACAGAGAGGAAAACCCCAGGTTTTTGCCACAGGGTGTTGTTATGGTCATGCACATGCTTTAAAACATGGGCCATTCTGCCACATCAACACTCCTCAGCCACACCTGCCCCCCTGCACGTGTATGGATGAGTCTGACTGCAGGTACAGGCAGACAGTGCAGTGCCTCTGAGGTTAAAAATTCATAAGCTGCCTTGATGCCGAAGCAGGCAATGTGCTGCCACACCTGAATAAAAGGAAGAGAAGAAAAGACAGGAAGGAGAAGCCTTGCCCTACCCGGGTGGGAAAGCTTTCAATGGAATGTGTGGGCCTGCCTGGTTTTAACCCTGCAGAGGCTGGAAGGACGTATGTGTGCACCGTGCAGCTGGGGCTCTTCACTGCAAACAGCTTCTCTCACATGCTGCATCTCACCTGGCAGGGCTCAGACCTCTAAAGCAGAAGAATCAAGATCTTAACAACTACCCCTTTTCCTTTCTTTCCCTGGAATGTTGCAGCTGGCCTGCCTACTCCTTGGTACTGTTGCCAAAGGATCATCAGCAAGCTGGGTGCTGCTGAAGCACAGATATGTTGGGAGTTTTATGTGTTAAGGGCTTCCTCTCAGTACTGCTACAAGAGGACACTGAAACAAGCCACATCTAATTCAGACCACTGCTGTCGGCTACTCAGGGTATAAAAACATGGGTCCATGCTGCTCTTGCTTACAGAGACAAGAGACACTAACCAGATACATCCTATTAAATGTAAAGATGATTTTAGTTACTACCAGTATTTTTTGGTTGTCTTGGGCAATTCTATAAATACTGAGCTCAGTGTTACCTTATAAAGCTACCTGACACCTTATTTCACGCTTCACTACAAACCTAACTGCCCATTGTTTGTTCTTCATTACCACAGAGCTCATAATTTTACCTTAATTAACTTGCCTTTAGCTCTCTCCAGGTTACCTTCTTCTTTTGCTTATGTGCACAACAGAAACCACTTCCCAACAGAAAGGGCACAGAAGCTGTGTCACACAGCAAGTTTCAGCTGCTTTCACCTCTAATAAGTCAGGGTGGCTCTAGGGGCCACTGTGCAGAGGGGCAGTGAGCCCTGGGCTCTGCCACTCAGCAGCAGCAGCCCCCTGGGATGCACCTTTCCCCATGGCTGCTCTGCAGGCACCGACTTGTTTTACCTGGGACTCCTCCAGCCTGTGGGAGGTTTGCCAGAATTCAGCTAAATTCTCTTTAGAAGGAGAAAAGCTCTTTTTAAAAATTTCATTTAAAGCAAAGCGCTCAGAGGCTTGAGACTAAGCAGACAGCTTAAAAATGAGAACAGTATAGAGGTACAGTTATTTTTAAACACAGAGATTTGTCAATTTTGTCCTGTTGATAAGGATCTCCCCCTCTCCAACTCTGAATACTGCCGCTTCCTGCGAGACAACAGTCTCTACGATACAAATCACAATAATGAAATCCAGATGAAAGCTGCTGTGTGCTGGTTTTGATTCATGTAACAGGATAACGGCAGCATGTTTGAACACACTGGCTCTAAGGCAGCTGTCTCATCTTGTCAGTGCCATGCTGGAGAGCTCAGCTAACTGCCCTTATTCTCAAGAAAAGCATTTGTGCAAGTTTGTTTCTGGGTTTTTTTTTTGTCCCTTGATTTTTTTTCCCCTTCATAGCTGCTGCAGAAGCTGGACTTTGAGCAACAGCATGCTGCTTGTCCAGCTGGTACCTACAGAAATGCATCCTGTGCGTGCAGGACCCTGCCCCACAGAGAGGCAGGCCGAAAATACCCCTAAAAAATATCTGTTGAGAGGTAGTTTAAAAGCAACGTTGGATTAGGAAATGTATCCTGTGCGTGCAGGACCCTGCCCCACAGAGAGGCAGGCCGAAAATACCCCTAAAAAAAAATCTATTGAGAGGTAGTTTAACGTTGGATTAGCATCTGTTGAGTGATCAAATCAGTTACCCTCTCAAATGGTTTCTGACCAGGCACAGGTCAGAACAGGTTTCCGAGTACCCCTGTTGCTGGGGTACAGCATTTGTGAGGCTACACAGAAACCTTGGGCCCCAACCCTGACCTTGCCCAGGGCCCCTTATGCACCCTGCAAACAGCTCCCACTGCTGCCCCTGCCCACCAGCAAGGGAGTGGAGCAAAGCTCTGGGGTGGTCCAGGAAGCCACAAGAACCAGCTGGGATCTGACAGGGGAGGGCTTGGACACAACACCATCCTCCTCTGCCTGCTCCCTGCTCAGCTTCTCTTCTGTTTTAGGCCACGCCACTGCCCTTGAGCTTCCTCTGTGTCCCACACAAAGTTCCATGTGAAGAAAAACACATGATTGTCTGTCCAGGACAATTCTGGTATTGCTGCTCAGCTTCTCTTCTGTTTTAGGCCACGCCACTGCCCTTGAGCTTCCTGGTGTCCCAGACAAAGTTCCATGTGAAGACAAACACATGACTCTCTGTCCAGGACAATTCTGGTATTGCCTGTGTCAGGGCTCTGATCAATAATGATGCTCCAAAATTTTATGAAGGGTTTGCAAATATTTCCCTAAAAAGAGCACAGCTTTTTTCCATCCAAACATACTTTCTTAAACATAATATTATTCCCTACCAGGCAGGCACTCTGCACTCCCAGAGCTGTCAGACACATGAACAAGGCACTGGGAACTACTAAACTGTCTCTGTCATAGTCTAATCTCCAATGTTTTTAACTTCTGTCATCCAGAACCGTCTGTCTTGTTTCTCACAGCTTATTTGCATGGAACACATTTCAGTTCAGCATTCAGCAATACTCCTTTGTGGGCTCTGCTATGTTCTCTGTGTACAAATCTGTGTATGTATATTTTACTTTGGCGATGGAAGCTGCACAAGACAAATTAAAACCTTGATAGATGGTAGCTGACAGATGCCTGGACAGCATGATAAATGCCTGAGCCCAAGTCTCTACTCTGCACACTTTTTGCTTGGCTGGCAGTTTTGAACTTGGAGCTCAGCTCGTGTGTTATTCACAAGCATTTTCAGGCAGCTGCTTTCTCATAGGAAAGCTGTATATATAGTTTCATAAATATGGGAGGAGAGAGAATGCCTGAAATGGTTGGTAAGACTGGCAGGATGAAATATTGTAGAAAATAAATCCTACTTTGGCAGGCAACCAGTAAAAGATGATCTAGCCTTGGATGCCTCTATCTCTTAGCTTAAGAAGGATAAAATCAGAATAAAATAGGTGAATACAATGAAAGATGTATGATAGGCTCTCTTAGCTGCTGCTACTGTGTACCCCTGATAAATCTACTTCACAGAAAGCAGACTGAAGACTGATACCTGAAACAGACTTTTGGCAGGTCACTGATAAGGTCTCAGCCACACAAGAAGTGAAAAGTCAATAACTCTGCACTCTCTGACTAATTTAATGCATCCCATAGATGACCAGCTACGTACCTATCAACTGCCAGTAACCTAATTCATACACTTATGGCTTATGATGCATATATATGAGAAATCCTGATAGACAAGAGACTTCAAACTGTGATGGAAAATGGGAGTGATTGTGAATTATAATTAAAATTCTAAAAAAGGAAGCTAGACTAAAATAAGATGTTTCTGTTGTTACAAAGTTATGAACATTCAAGGACCTTAAACTGAAAGATTTTGAATTTCACAAGGCAAATAGTCCCAAAACTGCCTCTTTGAAATTAACTACATGGAAGGACACCAGTTTATTTTATATTGTTAACACTCAGGAATTATTCTCAAAATACTTATTTATTGGAGTCTCAGCCAAATATAGCATCAAATGCATAGATCACAGGATTTATGTATGATTATCTACCACTTCTATCCTCTGCTCCCTGAGACTTTTGGGTACAAGGTCAGTAGCTGATAAAGAAGCAGTCTGGAGATACTTAATATACAGCTGCAGAAGAGGCTCGAAGAATAGGGTGACAGCACTGAAGGACACCGGCTGTAAGCGGAGTCTGCCTGACCTTGGTGCTCCTTGTGAAAGACAGAAAGAGAGAACGACAGACCAGATGCGTTATATCATCATGCAGGGCTTTTGTTAGACCAAAGGGCCAGGGCAGCAAGCAGTTCTAATTTTAAAATCACACTGGAGGACCAATATTAAATAATGCAGCCCGGCTGTGCTCACCACTAGCGCGGTACCTGGCAAGCGCAGCCTGGCAGGCAGGCACTGCAACAGCTCTGCAGAGTTTTGTGACCTGCTTCTCTTATTAGTGGTGTGGAAACGTCAATTTATTTTTATATAATTAAAGCAACACACTGACATTGTAGCTCGGTACCCAAACCTAATTCCACGTGTATCCCTTGAGCAAAGATAGATGGATATTTCAGGGATGCAACTACAGAATGGGTCACTCAAAGTCAACGTGCTGCTGATCTGGGCTCTTCTTCTTCTGCTGCAAGTTTTGGCAGCATGCAGTGACCAGCTAACATGCTCCTGTGCTTCTGTGTTACTGACAAAAGCAGTACTGCAGGATCAGCCTCAAGTTTTGTTGAGAATGAGTTTTCTAGTTCAGCACAGAAGGAGTTTCTGCTGGAAAGAATGCAGAGAGACCAGGGGGGCACTGACGAGTCTGTACATATGCTAGTCAACATGAGATTCGAGGAAAGAAATTAATGCTTAGTCTGGTAGATAAAGTTCCTGTTCTAGGGAGATGTAAGAATCTGCACAAATTCCTGTTTTAGCAGTATCAGCCAGGAAGACATCTGTTAACTATGACATGATGTTTCCCTTCCCCCCCACCCCCCAGCATGAATTTTTTCTACCTCTTACTGTTTATACTGCAGCAGAGAGTGCAGACTCTCCTACAAAGACAACACAAAAGGAAATAATTTCTCCAGGGCAGACTAGACTTTAAATACAACTAATACAATTAACAGAAACCATACAGTTGGTATTGGGAACGTATTGAAGAATACTTTTCAGAATTGTCCCCTGAAAGGCAATTTGTGGGTATTACTTCTAGAAATGCAACAGGGAAGTGTATGCTCTCTTAAGCCCAAGACTTCACTACAGAAAAAACTAAAATAAACCGAAACAAAAAAGAAAAACAAAAAAAAACCCCATGCAAAAAAACCCCAAAAACCCAACAACAACAACCCCCCATAAACCAAAAACCCCCAATCCAACCCAAACCAAACAAACAAACAAAAAAAAAAAAAAAACCCCATGCAAAAAAACCCCAAAAACCCAACAACAACAAACCCACATAAAACAAAAAAACCCAAACCAAACCAAACCAAACAAACAAACAAACAAAAAAAAAAAACAAAAACAAAAACCAAAAAACAACCCAACCCAAACCAGACTAAAGCAAAAGCACTTCTGCTTCCCCAGAGCTATCTACAAGGAGGAAGCTCAGCTTCTCCTTGAAAACAGCTGAGGACTTGCAGCTAACACTTTTCTCTGAGAGTCAGGGCTAATTCAGCTCAGTAAAATTAAAAGACTATAAAGGCAATGTCAGTGATGATAAACTCAGGCTCCACAAAAATTGAGCACACCGAGTGCTAGCTGCACGTATTTCTGAGTGAAGTCTAAACTGGACCACACATTTTGTCTGTCCTATGCCTCGGGATAAAGCCTGCAGTGTTTACTGATGCAGCATTCACACAGACCTCAGCAGAGCTTTCCCAGTGAGCGTAGAAATCCTGGCCTAAGAAGCACAAGCCAGGCTCATGGGAGCAATAGCAGCGCATGCAGCTCTATCCCGCAGGCAGTGACGCAGCCCGGCATCCACTCCTCTTCCACACCTTCCCCCCATTAATTGCTCTGACATCCACCAGGAGGGGTGAGGGGAATATCGACAAGCTTGCAGCTGTCGAGCATTAATGCTAAATCCTGGCCAAGTACCGAAACTTTAATTACAAGCTGCAGCTCTCCGCGCACAACAGAATGCTGGGCGCTGCCATCAGAGCCGCTCTCAGCTGCTCCAGAGGCAGCAGTCACAGCCACATCCCGTCCTGCACCGGCGGCTGCTCCGGCCTCTGCGCTCCTCTGGCACAGGTCTGCTGCTGCTGCAGTGGCTCTGAGTGGTCCACAGGTCTCTCGCTGGCCCCAGACTGTAATTTGCTTTAATTGCAGTGTGAGCTGATTTTTACATTTGGGGGGGGGAAGAAAATGATTTGAAATTATAAGGCTATTATGCTCCTGCTCACACTGATGTGAACTGCAGGGAGAGGGGGAGGGGATGTCAGGAGAGTCAGGAAAGTCTAAAACAGATGTGAGTAAATGGCCTTATATTCAGCCCTATGCACAAGCCCTTGCACAAACTGAAAAATCCTACTTAACTCCTAAGTAAGCTCCTAGGACACTCTAGCAATACTTTTTCTCCCTTCTCTTGGTTGAAGGAAGCACCAGCAGCTTGTAAAATCTTTCAGCTGAGCACTGAAGAACAACCATCTGCCCCTTGGCTCCTTGCAAAGCCATGCAGCTCCTGCACGGGATCACAGCTATGCTGCTTTGGCTGCAGGCAGGCAAAACCCCGGCCGAGAGAGCCCTTGGCACCTGCCTGTGATCTACCTCAACAAAAGAAACAGAGCACTTAATGTCCTTCAACCCTTTCTTAGGTTAGTGCCTGCCTTCAGAAAGGGAGGTGGGAGTCCCACAGACCCTCAGACAGTGCTGAAGAGGTGATGTCTGGAAGGGTACACTCAGGAAAAAAACCCTCAACTGTCAAGTAAGACATTATTTCAGACACAGCAGTAATTAACCCTAGAGAGATTTAAAAGGCAGGGAGACCCCTGTCAATGCAAATATATTCTAGACAAACAATGACATTGATTTTAACAACTGTCCTTGAAGTAATTTTTCACCTTCAGGGCATCCAGTCATACCCCTTGTCAAATCCCCAGGCAGCTTCTTTTTACAACAGAAGTACAAATATAAGACTTTTAAATGCTGTGGACAACCAACATACAGAGAAGTGGGCACTGAATACCCACTCCTGGATGGAGAACTCCCTTGCAGGATGCCATTCCTGGCTGCTTCATTTTTACTCATTTAACCATGTCCACGAGAACATCAAGCTAAAAGGGGATCAAAGGTCTCAGGTGATTCTAGGGGACTTGCACTGCCTGGCAGACACTCGCAGCCTGAGGAAGGTCAGAAACACAGCCACAACTGCTAGAGCTATGGTCCCTTTGGATGTCGGCTAACAATGCCTTTCTCCTTGAGGGAAGACAGTTCCATGACTGTCCATGACAGTAACCATATCAAAACCTGACAAATATTTTCCCACATAGATGTAGCTGCTATAAAAGGTTGTCACTTTGTGGGTTGGCAGCCAAAAAGGAACCCGCCAGCCCTTAAAGGAAAACTGGTAGCAAGTAAGCAGAGGACACTCTGGACTTCCCATTTGAAAACCTAGAATAAACACAGCCGTAGAACTTAATTAAGCCTCTGTGTGCAACAGACAGAACATTCCTGTTAGCATGGAGATAATCTTCCATCCACATGAAGCACTTAGAGCTTATTTTGAAGAAGGAGCATCCACGAGCCAAATTACCTCTGGGGGTGGGGGGCAGATGAGCACATAGAAAGGCTGTATATTTACATAGATTAGCAGTTTCTTAAATAATGTCTTCTGTTCCAAATTAAACAAGAACATGGACAACACTTTAGACCTCAGTGTTTCAAATCCTATCATATGTGTATACAGATAAGAGAAGTAGGTCACCACTTTGGGGAAAAAAAAAATATTTTCCCTACTGCCTACTGTTACCCTGGATGTACAATCCAGACAGATACATGCTCACACGTGTATGACTGCACTGCCTCTTGCAACAGTCCTGCTAAAATAATCTACAGACTTGGAGCAATCAAAAAAAAAGGCTACAGAAGTATCTCACCACAGAAAACATTCAGTCAGAGCACAGACCATGGAACAATTATGTCTCTGTATTGTTAAGGGTTTGGATATAGTGGGAAATATACAGACTCTGCTCGTAATTGTTGCAATTAAAGGAAGGACTATCCCATGGTGAAATAAATACCTGGGAAACCAAGCTGTTCAGAGGAGTGAATGATTAGCATCAAAACACAGCGTAGCTTCATGACTTCAGAAAAACCCCAATGGGCATCCTCCTATTTTGTAATAGGTGCCAGTTTGAGGAAGTATAAATTTTCCTCTGAATGCCAGAGAATGAGTGCATTGTTTGAACAAGCCTTTCATCTAAAGCATTTATGAAATACAGCAGTAATAAAAGTGTTTGCATTTGTAATACCTCCAAGAGTTTGTTTTAACATGTCTTGAGAAGTAACTGTCATTTAGAACAAAGCACTCTGAACAGCTCTTATTAGCAGATTAAAAATAATAACAGTCTTCTTAAAATATGGCCAAATGAAACCTCAACCTTCAGAACTTCGTTACGGGAATTCCTCTGTCGTACACAGAATCACTTACCATATATGAAGGGAATATTAAAACCCGCTTATGTTTGCCACACGGCCACTGGGGATCGTCTAAAAGATTTGGGTCGTATTCAACAAAGTCTCCCAGGTCGCTACCTATAAAACAACAGTTTAGATGTAGAATTTTGAAAGGAATTCATTGCATCAAGACATCTCTGAACTTAGCAGAAGTGGCAAATGAGTTCACAGATAATGCACAATATTACCTCCATGCAAGATTTTTTAAAGAGATGAAAAATTGTTTTAAGTCTTGACAACTCTAAATATTCCTATATTAATTTGCCAAGACACAGAGGACCTAGAGCTTACGAATTACCTGCTAAATGTGAATTTAGGGCTTAGAGAACTGCAGAATTATATAAGGCTCCACAATGACTTTTATTCCCGGCAACAAGTTTTCATCTGTTCAAGCAGATGTTTTGATTTGTTTCATTTATCATGCCAAAATATTTTAAGCATATAGTGCTTTGGCTTATGTTTTGTGTCCAGTTTTGTAAACACAGCCCTTTCCAGCCTAACAAAGGTCACAAGTGGAATTTACACCTTCCGCTTATGACTACTGTGTTGCCACTGTAAATTTTCCATAGCAAAGGAAGGTAAGGACAAGCCTGATGCAGGAGGAACAAACAATGCTGATGACAGGAGGAGGCATGCTGGGTGCCATTGGGGCTGTCAATACCACCAATGTGCTTGTTTATTTAACTTCTATCCTCCACAAGCAAGCTTTCTAAGCAAATATGGAATAAGCAGCGCTTCACCCACAACAGAAGACTGTATTTATTTAATTTAAGCTAATGGGGGGACTAAAACACGTCAGTCCTTTGCAATAACTGCCTACCATCAGAGTACTAAAAAGAACTACTTGACAAGTTACCTGCATCAATGCTCCCCTGGGTGCTGTTAGCTCTTCCCAAAGAAAGGCTACGATGGCTTGCATTGCGAAATTGGGAGAAAGATGAGGTGGAGTCTATTGTGTTCCTCCGAGTTCCCAGAGCATTGGTGGGATATAGGAACTGTGTATAAGAAACCGTCTAAAAAACAAAATGTCAGAATGGACAGACAGTTACTTCCAGCCCAAACTGGATGCAGTGGGATGCTTTTGGTGCACTCCAACTTAAAGCAAGAGAAGCCAAATTAATGGAGGACTTTCTGGATTTAGTAGTTAGGCACAGATGAATATAAACCAGCCACCTACATCTGCTCCAGTGTAGCCAGTTTATTCATGCAAAAAATACTTTTGTGAAGGCATTAATTCTTCAGCAAAACAAACACACAGACACACACACACAGACACGCTCCAATACACTGGATTTAGAAAATCCTACTCAAGGGTCAGATTTAAAAATATATCAGTTTGGTCAGGTTTTTTCTAGTGGGCCTTCTCTGTAGCACATTTCAGCAGCTTCTTTACTGAACTAGCATCATCTATATGGGTCCCTCAGCACACAGCTGCCAGAGGCAAATCACTTAAACACTGCTAAACAGAAGCACTTTCTCCGCTATTTTTCTTTCTCAGGACTTTGTCTGGCAGAGTCTTATTGATGTAATAAGTGAGCTCCAGTCCACAGCAATCATTGTGGGAGATCATTTACTACCCCCCCAACATGTACTAAGTGTGAATGAGTAACTTGTGACAAAATTATTTTTAGAGTGCACTGATTCTCTGCTTGTACCCCTGGCCAAGAAAAAGCTATGCCTTCCTTCTTGTTGGCTCATTTTCCAACAATAACACTGCATTGAAGAAAAAAAAATGCGTTTGAGACTCTAGACTGGTTTATGAGGAGGCCAGAACACATATCAAATAAAACATGTGGCATGTGAGCTTTCGTTATTTATAAGCAGACAGATTGTCCTCAGGAATTTACAGCCTGTGGTCTGGCCTGACACCTGGTTAGGTGAGCACAACACGTGTAGCAGCATTGACCCAGGGCCTTTAAATCCATAGATGACAGCAGACTGAGTAAAACTGGACTGCAGAAAGTAAATCACGCTTTCAGGAAGAAATGTTTTCTTCTATGATTAAAACTGTCTCTCCTCTATATATTTATTTAAAATCAATCAGTTCCCTAAAGATTCTTATTTCCTTATTCTATTCCAGTGAATGAGCTTCTGGATTTTGAGAGACTCATCAGCCTTGTGCCACTGTCTTCCTGCTCTCTGGAAAAATATTGAGCAAAATGTTATTAAATACAATTGAAAGCAAATAGAATTACAGGTACAACTCTCACCAGAAATTATTCTCAAGGTCCTGACAATCACTGCAGAGATACCTCCTGCTAGAGCAAGGGGAAGGCTGTATAATTCAGTAATGCTTTACACACTCAGACATTGCCAGAGGCAAATTTCTTCAAGGATACAGAGTTGTCTGTGTTGACAGCTTGGTCAGTCCTCATGAGTTTCTGCTAAGCCTATTTACAGTTGCACATTCTGTGCTTTAACCACTCTGTTACGCTGCATGTTGTATTTGTGCTTCTTATTAGTTAAGCCATTTTTCCCCCTTATAACATCAAATCTAAGGGAGTAGGAACTGAAGCATCCCCACCTTCCCATCTGCTCCAAGCTCCACACCTTCAAGACCAATTATCTCTTTCAGACACACTCCAGCAGAATGGCACTGGCGTCCACCATCCAGCTTCATATCCCTGGGAAGCAGAAAGAAGAGCAGAAACAGCTCTTAATACACACGCCGTGCTCACATCCCACCACCAAATGCTGAAACAAGATGCAGCATTAATCCAGACACGCCAAAGCAAAGCACAGACCAGACAACTTTTCCTGTGGGAAGCACTTTTGCTGTCTAAAACACCTTCTAGAGAAAAGCCCTGCTTTGTTCACGGTTGCAGCTCAAAGCCCAGCCTGTGGTGCAGAGCGACGTTCCCCGTTGCTGGGTACCTCTGACAGGACCTGGCCCTGGGAAGGAACTGGAAGTCATACACATTTCAGGTGAGACAACAATCCAGCCTGAACACTTGACTGCCATATATCCAGCAGGCAGATGTTCCCAGAGCACATACCCACATTCCCCTATGTGAAACAGAGATCATTTCCTGTGGAAGATTCCAGCAAGGATTCATGCTCTTTCGAGAACACAGGAGAGTGACCAAAGCCCAGTGACCCTTCTGCTAGAGGCTGACAGGAGAAAGCCAGTTTTCCATGACCCTGGCATGGAAACTCAGGGATCTACTTTAGAAGGACTGACCCACCTGGAATCTCCCATTTGGAGATAAATGAGATGCCTGAGACAAGCAGGCTGTATCTCATGCTTTAGCATCATGATGAAAATGTGAGCAGAGGTGAAAAAGACTAGGAGCAAATCTGTGCTTCACAAATGACAGCTGAAGGAAACTCCATAATATTTATCTTGCAATATTTTCCTGGCTGGTTGCTGCTGGGGTCCAAGTGTGTGCTCAAAACTCCGTGTGGGAGAGATGCTGACGTGGAGGCCAGGAGAAGCCCTGCAGGCTCTTCACCCAGTCACAGGCTGGGCTATCTCCTGCTGTGACACACAATACACCCTGTTTCCAACCTATCACACATTTTATTTCTCTGAAACGTGGCCATCCTGAGCCCCCAGTAAGTTATGTACCTCACTGCTGGAAAAATCCAACACATCTATCTTCTGGAAAATATAGTTCAGTGATAAAGGAAAAGACTGTATCAAGTTTCTAATCCCAACAAAGTCCTCTTAGTTTCTTGATTGGAGTTCACTTACCACAGTGTCATATTATCATTCTTGTTTCCTGATATCATGTTACTGAGGGGTTGGACTAATAATTATGTAAAAATAGCTCTCTGTCACAAGCATGGTATTAGCCTCTCTGCTCCTGTGCAGAAAGTGCTTCAGGAAACTATTTCTCACAGAGATAAATGCCAAATTGTAACTATTTCAGCAGTTATCTATGAAACAAACACACAACCTGAGAAAGTCCCTGAACTCCAAAATGAAAACAAATATCTGAACTACCTGAAATCAGAACAGTGTAGTTTCTTTCCGTTCAAGACCCTACAGACACAGAGCAAGAAATTATGCTGTTACAGCTCTGAAAACATGTCATGGAGTAATTTTAACATGTAATTAACAGACATGGATAGATAACTCTGCCACTCATCAAATGGAAATCCATCACCCTTTGAAGAGTCAGCACAGCAGCTTTAAAAAATAAAAAGCAGCTCTGAGGACTGGAAAGAAATCAGTGCTTTTGAAGCATGGAGCAGGGTCAGCTGGCAAGTGCGAGCACACACAGGAATGATTCCTGGACATTAGCTGAAGATCGGTGGACACTATTGCCTCCAGTGCCCGTCTTTCTGATATTTCTAAAGAGGATTCTCCTTTCAGGACCCTGTGAACAACACTGCAGTAATTCTCCCTGTTTTGCAAAAGCTACTTGGGGTGTTCCCCTTCTCCACATATGCTCTATATTTCTAGAAAGTATATGACTGCTTGTGCTGTAAAATGGAGTAATAAAGTGTTACTGTTTGGAGAGAAGTCTGTCCATAAAACAGAGAATTAAACTCCCTCTCTTGAGGAAAATCAGTACTAAACAATGTGCAGTTTCTTATGAGCATATAAATGGAAAGGCTCATCCTGGCTTATAGACATCTTCCTCTCTCTTGTAAAAGATCTTGGTTAACACCTCATAAGGAATTCCTAAGCAACTTTACTGTATCCTTCTTGAATTCCCTATCAGTATGATCAACAGCAAGCTAGTAAATTTTTTTGCATGACAAGCCTTTATTTTTTTCTCTCACTTCTATTAAAGACAAAGAGCTCAAGAAGGTCTTGGCAAAGCTCTTACTGGGAGAGCAAGCCCAAAGGCTGCCAGCCCAGTACTGGGGGGAGCCCCAGCACAGCTCCTTCCCCCACACAGCCCCAGCATCCCAAGAACAACTAGGAAAGATCTGGGGGATGCTTTCCCTTAGTCCTCTCCACATGGGTGAGTCGTGCTTGGGGAAGGGTCAGGATGGTTGTTTGGGTACAGCCACTGCACTGGTGTGGCCATCCACTGCCACCAGGTTTGTTAGGACATGTCCTTACATAGCATCAGAGTCAAAGGGTCCCATGAAGCAGGAGCATATGGAGGACAGGTACTTCATAGAGAAAACAAATCAAGCTTTCACTGTGTTTTAAGTTATTTAAATTACCGATGGGACTGAGGAACTGCACAACCACTATCCAGTAGTAAATGGTGCTTAGAAAATGCAGAGAAGGAACAACAGTCCTTGCCAAAGAGACATTTAAGTAAAGAAAACTTCCTTCCTCCTCTTCCTCAGTTTTGATTTTCCTGCTTTATTTCCAAAAGTGCTTTTTAGGAAAATTCAAGGAATTCAAGCAGACACCCAAATCCAAAAATAAACCATGGGAACTTAATTTTACTACCTTCACTTTATTTGAGCAGGGAAAGCTTGAGAAAATGATCAGGCATAACATTTCCTTAGGAGGAAAAAAACTAGATCTCAGTTTTTGACAAAGTTTGGGGAGTTACCCTGATTTACATCAATGTCAAGCTCTAGATACTCTGTTCATGAATACCATTTCTGGAAGACTGAGCAGTGTTAGAAACTACGTTAAAAACTAAACATATTGTCTGTTATCCATGAGTGCAGAATGTTGAGGAATACATGAAGTACAAGTAGCTGGGCTCACAAGCTGCAGACTGAGATGCAGATTGAAATGCAGAACTCCAGGCAGGAGCCTGAGAATAGAGGCCATGAACTGCCAGCCTTTGGGACAACACAGGTGGGTGACACCAGCCAGGTGAATGGACACTGGGAAATGCAGGAGAGCTGGGAATTGCAGCCTTTTGGGTAACAAAGGAGATGAAAACCAGTGAGCCAGCAAGGTGGATGGACACAGAGAGGAGGGCAGGAGCCAAAGACTCAGGAGGAAGAGGAGACTTCTGGAGACTGTGAGGGTATAAACAGCCAGGGGTTCCTTGGCTGGGGATCCTCCTCAGTGGCACCAGCTCTGGCTGTTCCTGTGTTGCTGCACCATGAATAAATGGCGTTATGGAACAAGATGGAACGAGACATCTGGGACTTTGCCATGGGAAACCTGGGGTCGAACTGGTGAGGAAACCTGGTCTGAATTGTGTGTGTCAGGAGTCAAGTGGGGACCCACTGGGTCACTGGAGCCACCCACCATGAGCAGTTTCAATCCCAGCAGTGAAAGTCTCTGACACTGGAGTGTGACCAGCAGTCTCCTGAGTAGTCAGAGTGGCTAGTTTCCTTAGCAAGAAAATAAATGAAAGTTTCTCCATCTAACAGAGTTCACAGATTTTCTGGGAACCATACCAGGTGACATGGGATCCCAGATTTGTTGTCAGATGGTGAAGAGTTTTACTGAGCAGATAGATAAGGATCAAAAGAAGCAATGTCATCATGTCTTTTATTAGCCAGGCCAGGATTAACAGAGTATAAATTGGGTGCTGTTACCTTTGGAAGTGTAACACTTCTTTAATAAACCAAATGTTATGCTTCAACGTGATCTACAAAGTCCCATGCAACACTCCTGCTGGGCACTTGCTCTTTAAATGACAGTAACAGTTGAGCACTCTAACCTGTGAATAATTTAGGAGTCTATGAAATATTAAACAGACTTCTAGATACATGAAAAAGCCTTCTGCTTATTGCAAAAAGGAAATTGATAATTGTTGTTTAGAGATGTCAGCCTTCTGTGACTCTATTTTATGCTTAGCTATTCCCCCCACACTGCTAAGATTTATTCTAAAAGCAAAAGAGGTTCATGAGACATCAAGAAAAGATGCCATTCTCATCCGTCAGTGTAAATAATTTCTACTTATCATCTGTTTATAGAGACAAGGACAATGAGAGCTCTGGAAGAGATGCACTGCCAGTCAGACCAGCAGCAGGTCTCCCACTGCCTGAAACTGCAGGCTATAACTGATCAAGAGCTTTCAGATCCTAATGCCATTAGTGTTGCCAGAACAACTCCAGCTGCAATTTACAGGGAGAAGGAGCAAAAAAACTCCTGGAAAGATGGCTCTAATGGGTCAGCCTCCTTTTTTTCTCTCCGAAGATATTTAGCTGTCAGCATGCTAGCTCTTTCCCTGATGTTTTGCCCAACACAGAGTAAAAGTTCAAAATTTAAACTTACTAGCTTTTGGAGATTCATTGGTCAATTTCAATCTAAGGGAACAGGACAACTCATAAGAATGAGCAATAGGGGCTCTATAAAATTCATACATGAGATTATGAGTTTTGAAATGTCCTACTGTGAGGAAAAAAACTTTAGATTTATGTGTCTTTCTGTAAAGCTAATATTCCTCATAAGAATGAGCAATAGGGGCTCTATAAAATTCATACGTGAGATTATGAGTTTTGAAATGTTTTGAAATGTGAGGAAAAAAACTTTAGATTTGTGTGTCTTTCTGTAAAGCTAATATTTGCTTGGTTTCATTTTTTGTTCACTTTGTGAGAAGCAGGGAAAATGGGCAATGGTAAAGAAATGCAGGGATATTTCAGTTTCCCTGTCACAAGCTAAAAACAGATAGTTGTTCTTCCCCAGGCCTACGGAATGATACATGCTCAGGAAAAGCACTCAAGATTGATGACTTAATCAAAACTGCCTTGCATACAAAATCTGTTGGGAAGAACAGCAAGGAACTCGGTAACAAATCTGAAGGATGCAACAGAGTATCCTGCTTTGCTGTCTGCTTATTGCTACTATCCATATGGCAGTTTAGATGCTCTCATTTCTCCTGTAAATATTGCCCTGTTTTCCACACTCACTAACCTGCCAAATAACTGATGGCAGCAAGACAACCACACAAGTCCTTCTTTTCGCCTCATTTTGCATATGGCTTTCTTACCCAGTTTAAACACTAAATATGAACAAAGACTGCAGAGTTTAGGAAAAGAAGGCTGTTGGGAATGCCAGGTCTGTGGCATTGATAATTGATAATTTTGGTTAAATATTATTTGGTGCAATGGTATTGAAAACCTCTTGCTCCTGGCATCATTGAACATATTGTCCTGGCCAGCATCTAGTTAAATCTGAAGTTAAATTCAGCAGTGACTTATCTTTAGAAACTGGATGAAGCTGGTTAGTAGCATTTTTGAGAAGGACACAAATTCTTTTTATCTAGTGACTTGCTGCTTTACTTCAGAAGAATGGTCTGTTTCCTGGGCTTCAATCCATTTGATTACTCATACTGCATTATTTCCTTTAGCTGGAGGCAAGTTTTGTCAGACGAGTACCTGTATTTTTGTCAAGGCAGCAATATTCAGCAGCTATGCCTGCTGCAGGCAGATTTCTAACCTGAATTCAATGCCACAAAGAAGAAAAGATGAGGTGAACTGGCCATCTTTATAAGGATGTGCACTATCTGATGCTCTGAGTTCTCTGTCCTGTAGCTCATCACCTCCAGTCCCTGCTGTCAGTCAGCCACTGCGAACCCAGGTCTGAGTGCCTCTTTAAACACTAATCAGGCTGCAGTGCTGCATTTGTGTCATAGTGCCAGCTTTCCTCCTCCCCCAGGTCCTCCACATTCATCTTCTGGACAGGACTTCACAGGAACTTGGAAGCTCTTAAAAGAGTGCTTACAACATCACAAAAAATATAATCAGAATAGGTACTATTTCAATCTGTGGATGCTTTTGCCATTGATAAGAACAAGCCTAAAAAGTGCCTCTTCCAAAGCACATTTTTAAATCATGAAGCATAATGATGTGTGCCAAGGATGAAAAACAAACTGTAAACCCAACTAACTGCAATACCTTTTATTTTTGGGGTGAAAAACAACATGGTACCTCCTTCCTCCTTTTTAACACCTCTAACTGTGACAAACAAACATTGCCATTGTCCTTTTTTGAAATTGCTTAGGCTATACTAATGAGGACTGGATTGTTCTCACTTGGCTGCAAGCATATGCAGACCATTTCTGTAGGGCAACACGTCCTGCTGGCCACATGGAGCAACTTCAACACCTGTGAGCAGTGCCAGAGTTGTACCGTCTCCTTGGAAGCTGATGGAGAAGTGGTGCCTAGAGAAGCTTCAAGAACAGGCAAGCAATGGAGAATTGCCTCCCTTCTCCCCTGCCCAGGATATCTGCTTTTTTCCAGAGAAGGGAGAGTTGAACCTGCTTCTTTCTCCATCCTGGCTGGGGCCATATGGTGGGTGCAGAGAGTGCCCTTGCACACACCACGCTAGCAGAAACCTTCAGGAATGTTCCCAGAGAGCCTGGCTGTAACAGCTCCTCTTTAGGGACTCGAGTGTCCGGAGCATGAGCTGCCTAATGGCTAAAAGGATAATATCTGCTGTGTCTGATCCCCGTCTCCTGTCTCAAAGGGCTGAAATCCAATTCACCTCAAACCATCTGGAACCTATCTCTAAACAAATAATTCCTTCAAGTCTTATTTAATCCATCTGCAAATGGCTTCACTCTTTGGTTTGCCATGACACAAATCCCCTTTGAGGGCCCAGAGCAGGTCAGCATGTGTCAGGGTGTAACGCCTGTGCTGAGGGTGGCTGTGGTAGGACAGCTACCTGCTGCTGACCTGAGGCATCTTCCCCTGTCCTGGAAGTGGAACAGTATCAAGGCTCAAGTCTTTGCTGTGAGCTTCCACAGTGACAACCAGCCTCTCACAGAGGAGGTGTGTGCCACAGCAGCTCAGGGGATGCACAAGGTGCACCTCTGCTAAAAATGGGACGTCAACACATCCAATTTTCTGCCCATCTACAGAACCAGATGGGGATTAATGCTTATCTGTGGCAAGGAAGTTATGAAATGGATACCGAGGCAGTTTCAACACCATCCACAAAGTGGATCTTACATCTTTTGGAATATTATATTTAAATAAGAAAGAGGAACCCTTTATCCATTAAGGCTTCCAAAGCATTGAAAAACGAGAGGCAACTGCACAACCCAAACCTGCAGTACTAGCACTTGCCTCTAACCTGTGCACCACACAATGACTCTGTATGTCATAAAGCCAAACATTCAGGCCATCTTTCTCTTTGTCTGTTAAACTAAGAACAGAGGCAGTAACACTTTTACAAGTGCTTTCAAATCACTACATCACTCCCCTTAGCTACCACTCAACCCTGCCTAGCATCTGATGACTTTGGGCTGTAACATCAAGAGGTACTGCAGGGCAAGGAATGCCAGTGGCCAAGATGCTCAGCACCTCCTTCAGCTCCTGACTTGCAGTGAAGCTTTCTTTACTTTGCCTTCACCTGGCTATATCTTGCTTTGCTGGTCTAGATAGAGGAAGAAAAGTAAGCACTTAGGAAACTTATTCCAGGGGCACCTCAAACTTCATTCCCTCATGTACATCTACGGCTCTCTCCCCATACTTCCAATTTGTACTGGTACAACCACTTAAAAATCACACTTTAGGTTTTTGGGGAGGGTTCTTGCTGTTGTAGTTTGACCTCTGCATGGAGGGCAGGCACTTGAAGACCACAGTCTAGAGTACACTTCTCGCACCTCACTGGTGAGGGGTGATGCTGCCCCATCCACACAGGACAGGTACATAGAGTTGTGACTTCAGAAAGTGCCTTCTACCATGTTTTTATAATGCATCTGCTCCTGCAGACTGTATCTAGCAGCACTGGCAGAGCACAGCTCTTCTGAACTGCCTTGAGTACAACATGGGCTGGCAGCCTCCACCAAACAGCTGTGCCTGGAGATTTCCTCACTGGCCACTCACAGTGTCCGTGAGTTGGAGCAGAGCTGGAGAGGCAGCAGCAGCTCCACTATGGGCTCCTCTCACAGGCAACACTTCCTCCTGCCTGCTCATCCATCCTACTCTCCCACTGCTGCCAGGGCTCTCTTCAGTTCAAAGTTCAGATGTGTCCATGGCTCCCTGCAAGGACCTGTTTCTTTTCATTAAGTGTTCAGTGATATTTGCAGAACACAAACCAGCTGGGACATCTCACCTGGGGACAGACATCAGCAATCCAGGGATTCAGAGAAAGCAAAGCTAAAGGATGCTGTCATTATACAGTACTTCATAAGAGTATCCAGTGTCTCTCCCCCCTCCTACTTCACATCCAAAATGTGCAAGTAAGCAAGCACTGTGCAGCCTGAACAGAGTGGTACAGTTTATGCTATACTGCCTCATCTGTTCCTTGCACCAGCTGTTTCTGCAAGGAGGTGCCACTGAATTGTTTCTCTCTTCCTCTGATGCTCTGGAAGAAAGACAGAGGGCATTTTTTTAAATCTTGGCTTTTTAGCCAAAGGAACAGGGTTGGATTGTTGTGTACTGGCACTTGCTACCTTCTCATCCCATGCTCTTCTTGCTGTGCAAGCACAGTACAAGACATGACATGCTGAAATAATATTTAGTTTTGCAGCTGGGCTTGTTACTGCTGTAATTTAGAAGGTATAACCAGTCATCAGAATTTCAAAATGTGTTCAATTTTCAATAAAGAGGCATTTTCCACAGGATGATGACCATAAAAGAATGACAGTGTACTCAAGAACAAAGAACAAATCTGCCAGTCTGTCAAGAATTTGCCTGATGTGTCATCACAGTTTAATTAAGGGAAAAAATTTACTGTAAGAGTGAGCAGACAGAGTCAACCTTCTGACAAAGGTACTTCCTTTCCTTTGTGCATTAAAAATAATCTCCCTTTGTTTTGAATTACTGGTGCACAAGGAGATTGTGACAAATCACTCTCCAGAACTAAATAGATGGCTGGAAAGTATGAGCCAAATTTGTCTTTTATACAGTGGAAAGATTTGACTGTAGATGATTTGTGGATCTTTGAAACTCCCCTCAGTGTATCAACAGACTATTTCCCATGCATTTTGTGCTCTGCAGTCACTGAGTCAACCACAAGGACTTCTCAGGTCTCTGGCAAGTGAGCCTGGTGGCCATGCTATTCCCCCCTGTCCCAGGGTCACAGGGCTGCTGCCACCAGCACTGCTGATCCCAGCCTTGCACTGCACCCAGCTGCCATCAGAGCCTGCCAGGTCACGTCCTCCAGCCAAATCCAGTTTCTTCCACTTCTGTTGTTCCAGTGGAAGAGCTAAAAGCTTTCTCAGTCTCTGGAGAGCTACTTCATTCCAAAGGAACTATTCTATCAGAGTTACAGTGTCTCAGCACGTCAGGGGATGCAAGGCAGCTGCACGGACAGCTATGAACCTGTATAAAATCATGGCCAAAATAATGCTTTCGCTGACTGAATGATCTGACCAGTAATAAAAGTAATAAATAAAAAAGTATTCTGTTTAAATCCAAGTATTTCTTTATAGTTCTGGAAATCTAGACACAGTAGCACTATGTTTGTATAGGAGAAAGAGACAGCTAAGATGGCTTATACAACTAAGTCATACTGTCTGAAGTATTTGTTTTGTCAAAGATGAGTGAAACCAGAAGAAACAATAAAAAAGTGCATTTTTTCAAGAACATTGATTTCATGGGGGCAGTTTTCTCCAGCTTAATAATCAAAGATATCACAACACACATAAATAAAGTGGGGACTGAGAGCTGTAGTTTAATCTGGTAATGGTCCACAAAGCAAATACACCTAAGAGCATTTATCTCTTCTCAGAGCAGACATGTAAAAGCATTAGCCTCCATCATGCTGTGTTCTGTTATCAGGTCTACATGCAGGCCCAGAAAGACTATGCAGTACACATATGAATATACATACCCGACTTGGGTACAGTCTCGATATGGCAGCACTGAAAATATGCTACAGAAGGATCTTCTGCTGCTGATAAGGACTATTCTAAAATATAAAAGAAAATAAAAGAAATCAAAGACTAAAATTTAAAAATCCCACCACAACAAGCAAAGCAATAGATGTTACCATTGAGGAATTTGCAATCATAAAACTTCCATAATGGATGACTTATCTGTCCTCTTTTACATCTCACAGATATTGTGCTACGGAGTCTTTACAGAAGTGCTGAAGCCTGTGCCACAGCAAAGGAGCAGTGAATGAGCAGTAGAGCCCCATTCCCTCTACAGGCTTTCTAGGAAGACTATCCTGACTATGTGACTTGGAATGCAGGACAGATGCTTTCCTAGTGAAAGAAGTCTACCCACAGAGGCACGGGACCATTCTGTCAACCGACTACAATGGCTGAAACTCAACAGACAAAGCCAGCAGCAACCCAGGTGATACACACCAACAAATACCACTGATACACACTCTGGCTGCTGGTTGTGACCTTTCTCTGCTAAACCAAAGGACTCCCTTGATTGTCAGCTTCTTGTTCCTGAAATGGGCTTCATCCATCAATCAGGCTAGGTTTGCTATTATTACACTGAGTTTTCAGATCCTTTCACTGTTTCCAAGCTTCCTCTTTTGAATCTTCTCCAGTTTTTGCTCCAGACATTTCTTGGTCTCCAGGCATCATCCGTGACCTCAGAAGTTGCACATCTTCCAGTCTTACCTTTAAGATCGGCGTCTAGCCATGACACTCTGCCAGTCTCTGTGCTCAATAATCACATTAGCCCTCTTGGTTATGATGTTGCATTGACACTCAGGCATAACTGACCCCTCAGCTCCCATCTGTCCCAGTCAATGGCTGAATCCCTCCTCCTCTAAGCATGGCTTGCCTTTGCTCCTCATAGGCAGTTAGCCAAGATTTGGCTACATGAAATCATACATCATCTGCCTGCAGAGAGCTTATCTCAGAATCCAGGACAGTCTTAGAGCAAATGCCTTGCATTTCTAAGCAGTCTCCAATTCTCTGCAACATCTGCAAAGTCACTGTGTGATACTGTCCTGGTTTCAGCTCAGATAGAGTTCATCTCCTTTAAAGCAAATAGCTTGGAGCAACCTGTCTGTTACACAGCCACACTGCTGCCTTCAGCCATCAGGCTCTGACATATTAAGCAACATCAAAACCACCTTGAAGTCAAGACCCACTTCCCATGAAACAGAGTGGGATGCCAGTAGCTCCATTATTAAAGTTTTGGGAGATGCAGACTTGCAAGAAGCCAAGAGAAGCTTGGTGAAGAAGTAAGATATAAAATGCCAATAAGTAACTGCTTACAAATAGACCCTTTTTCCTTATCACCTTCAGGACACCGAGAATTGTACCATCGTACAACTGACCCTTCCTCCCTCTAAAGCTGGCTAACAGGCTGAACCATGTCAAACTCCTCTAAGACACAATGACAGCAATTTGTGATGTTTTCTGACCTGATTAGTGTTAGAATTTTCTGATATTTTACCTTTCTAAAAATCTCCACTTGTGGTGAAAATGCTAGGACCTACCACTACATTGGCTTTCAGGGCTATTGCACTTCATTATTCCGCTCTCCAACATTGATTTTTCTGACATTGTGTCCCACAGATCTGTATGTGAGGATTTAACCTGAATTTTTCATCCTTTGTCCTGCACTGATCAAAGCAGGACAACAAACCCTAGCAAGCTCTTTTGCTCTTTGCTGTCTGAAAACCAGCACACGCACCTATGAATCTCATACCAGTTACCCTGTTATTAGAACACTGTTTTCTTAAGGGACCAGCTTAGTCATCGTTCTTGGAAAAGGTTTAGCTCCCCAAGAGAGCTGCTGCACGTAATCCTTGGAAAAATGCAGAATGATCGATTTTCCTTCTCCTGGATTACTCCGTTATAGCAATCCTATTTTCTTCCTTAAAATCCCGTTTGAAAGCAAAGAGGGATTTACCCTTTAATGAAGAAAGGTTTCTAATAATAAACACATATACAGTTTTAGGAAGTTCTCCTGCAGCAGATGAAGTACAATTTCATTGTTGTCTGAATGCTGTAACACTCCTTACCTAAGGGAAATCTCAGATCCTTCAAGATGGTCTCACGGTGCGGCAGTGAGTTACAGAGCAGGGAGGAATGATTTTTCCCATTTGAGAACAGCAATGCACAAGCAAAAAAACCCTGGCATATGATTAATTTTGTGCTTGCCACTGCTTACTGCTGAATGGTTGCTACTCACAACAGCTTGCTTGTTCACTGGAAGCCTTGTTTGCTGATGTATGAAACTTGGCACAGGTTTCGAGGCTGACATCAGAAAGCATCTTTGAATTCGGAAAACCACAGTACCCACTAAGCATATTATCCCCCTCCCTCTGGCTGCTTCTGGAAATACAGCTCCTCCACCAACGCCCTACACCTCCCTAAAAATACCACTCAACTCTTAATACTTAAAAGAAAAACAAACTGGTGCTTCCATGTCCACAAGCAAAGACAACAGTAGGAAGTTACCATAGAACTGTGTGTATCAGAAGGAATCAGACAAGAAAGGAAATAAAAAGCACCAGCCCAGCCTCTATTTTTTTTAGATTTCTTTCCCTTGGGACCCAAGTATTGCCTCTCTTTCCATAAATCAGCAGATCCTCTTTACACAAAGATCTCCCAGGCAGAGCATGAGAGGAGCCCATGGCCTCCACTGCTAGGATGCCACAAAACCTCATCTGCAAAGCTGCCAAGGGAGAGTGATGCAAAACAGCTTTAGGAGCTGGACTGGAAAGGAAGTGGGGAAAGCAGTGGCCAGATACTCATCATAGAGGGATAAAATGGCATTTTATGTATAGGTCTCATGACATGCATGGAAGCAAAAAAATTTCTGAAAGCCTGCAATGGTTTGCTGGGGCAGAAAGTCCAGAAACTTGCCACAAAGTATGCTTTGGAGAAGAAGTTGTGGTGGAAGTCCATTGCCGCTCAAGAAAATCAAATTATTGCTTATGGGAGAAAAGTATTTTCCCGGATTTCAGCTCTTCAACAAAGGGCATCTACAATCCTGCACATCTCTGAAGCAGTTATCTCAGAAGCTGTGTGAGAGTGCTTACATCCCTTGATTCCAGTTGTGCCACCTAGACATGTTTAAAACCACTTCACAAAAAGGCTTTCATTCTTTAATTCTCACATTTCACTGAAAAGTTGTACTAATTATTACAGTTCAGAGCAACCATTATTTGGCAAGAGAATTCTGACAATGTGCAAAAGGCCAGAAAAGCTAATCTTCCAATTTCTTTATGAAGTGTATACTGCAAAAAAATCTTAATGAGCACGAAGCTCTCAACAGAATCAGTAATTTTATAGACTGGAAAATAATGTCTGCTTTCCCCAGCATCTGTCTAGGTTTGATTGTGCTGCACCAAAAGGCTGCCATCAAGCAATGTGATATACATCATATATACCATATATACATGTGGAATATTGCAGTCTCTTTTCTCATTCCTGATTGATGATTTTTGACTGCCAGGGCTCTGTTGCCCTGCACACAAAGGTAATACACAAACCATGGATGCTGTCAGGGTAGCAGCCCTCATTTTGGAGTCTCAGAAGTTCAAGGGCAATTAGAAGGTGGCTGACACTTACTATGAACTGTGAGGGTGCTGCCAATCATTAACCTCTTAGTCTGCATGTGTGTGCAATTAAGAGAGCAGCAAAAGACATTTCATGATGGTGTTTGGCCTTCACTCAGGCGTGTTTGCTAACAAAAAAAATTGAAAAAGCAATGCCATGGGGGTGGGAGAGGTATGCTGTTTTACTGCTTTTTATACCTGCTATATATGATAACTCTAGAGTCCTTCTTGTCCCATTCTCACCAGTAACCGTTTGTTGAGCTGGCTCAGGTTGCCATTTCAGTGGCTCTTTTTTGCTAATCCTCTGCTTCAGTGTTTATGGAGGATATCACCAATAATCCTGATGTGGGTAAAAGCCACAGAAAAGTGGGTAAAACTATATGCTGGTGCCTACCTGAGCTAGTTTGTATGTCAGGTTTACTTGTCTTTGTCTTTAAATGGGAAAATGGATTTTCTGCTGTTTTACAAGACTGCTTTGCTAGCATAGTCTAGGAACCCTAATTTTCCATATCCTTTAATAAGCCACGACCTAGAAATCCAAAGAAACCGGTTTAACCAGTGATCAGAACTATCAACAGGAAGCTTTACAAGGACTCGCTGATTAAGCTCCAGTCTGTGTATTTTTCTATATGAGCTTTTTCTCTGTGCTAAATAGCTGAACTTTTATTTTAACCACAGCGGGTCCTGCCTTGCTGCAGGACTGCCAAAGGCTGGACCCAGAGCATTTTTATTCAACACATGTCACCCCTGAGGCTGAGATGGTAAGAGCTCTCAGTGCCACAGGACAAAGACACATCACCTTACAGGTTGAGAGACACAAACAAGGGCAGCTACCGGAGAGAGGAGCCCTGAGCTATCACTCACACTGCAGTTTTCTTTGCTGTGACACAGTCACAAGCCAGTGAAACAACTTCTGAAAGTAATGGCTATATTAAAACCCAGTCATCAAATTCACCACCCAAAAATATATTCCGTGTAGATGTTTCCGAAGTTGGGTTCTTCATCTTAAGTGAAAGACTGACATGCTGTGACAGAAGGGTCAGGGGTTTCAGAGGGAGCTCAGAGCCTGACTCCAGCCCAGCTCAGCATCTTTAGCCTGCACAACCATGCATGAGCCACCTGGGACAAGGTCTCAGACATGGAAAGGAGCCGCAGGAGTGTTTGCTATCCATTACAACACCTGTGCTCCTCTGTGTCACAGGCAGCTGGAAAGGACACCAGCTTCAAAGGTCTTAACGTACTCAAAACCACTGTTGATTTTAGGATAAATACACAAAGCAGATCCACCTGTATTTCTAAAGGTCCTTTTAATCCAGAATGCCTATTAATTCCAGTGACTACATCCAGATCCCTGGGAAAAACAGTCTGCACTCAAATTACTTACTGCTAGACACTGGGGTGACACAAAGTGTTAACTCTGCATTTTATTTTTAGTTAGCATCACTGTGGCTCTACGACCATAGGATGAAAACCACTGCCAAAATTGTGTCTCTCATTCTTACTGTATTTGTATTCTAGATAAAGAGATCTTTATTATGATTGTGGAAATATTCTGGAAAACTGTGTCTGCTGATAAAGATAAGAAGCCAGTTGAATAACGGAAGCTTTCTCACCGCTTTCTTAGCAAGAAAAATATTCAGTTCCATTGTCAGACATAATGACTGATCTATGTATTAAGGTAAAATATTGCATATATGCTACAAATACTTCTTTGCAAAACATCAAGAAAGGAGTTTACAAATCAACTCTTTATTCATTCTTTTGCAGGTATTATTTCTATCAAGCTTATGCCTAGATTTTGTACATCTCAGAAATTTTTCTCTGTGGAATTTCCCTAATACCATGTAAGTATATTTTGCTGTGAGTAATTCTCAGAGCATATATCTACTTATGCTCAAAATGGACTAAAATTAAAGGGCTGCTTTTCAGTGTTTGATTCCACATGTATTTCTTATAAAGACAATAATCAGCATCTAGTCAGACAACAGTCAACAGTTCAATAGTTCTGCATGTGTCTGTTTGATACTAAAGCTGGATGTAAAAGCTGTTTCTAAAATCTCTCAGGGCCACCTTGCACAACATTCATGTTGATTACTACCTTTCACTGCATTCAATCGTATGTCTGAGAATAACAGTGAAGAACATTTTTCTTGAGCCAAGTAACACGTATCAGAATTCAATTCATAAAACCTGTGGTTCAATGCAGTGTCAGAATTTCTACTGACACGGTTCCATGTCTGATGGCAAAGGCTACAGGCACAAATCAGTTCAACAGAGCATGGTTCTTAGCCATGGTTCTCAGTTTTATGAGAACAGGCATGTGCAAGGGTCAGCTCTCACTGGGATAGTTTAGCCTACATGCAACCTACTCAGGTGGCCTAGTTCAAAACGACTCAGATTTGGAAGAACAAGAATAAAAAAAATTAAGAGGCACAGGAAGAAACTGTCTGGAAAAATCAGAGAGGACAGGTATGCTCTTTATAAGCAGGAAGGAGCCAGTTTCACTTCTGAGCTGGATGACACCATAGTAGAGAACCCATTTTGCTGATGCATACACCTTCAGCTGATGAGAATAGGCCTTTGCAGTAAGCCAGGTCTCAACCAATGGCTGCTGCACAGGTCCCACCAGTGCCTATGTCTGTAACCTGGGCACATCCCAGTTCAGGGCGTGCTGCAGACACAGGTGCACCTCTCACACACCCCCTGGAAGACACTCTGCCTACATCTACCACGGAAACCAGGATCCCTTGTCTCATCTTGCCACAACCATCCTTGTCTGAGCATTTAGCAGCATGCTGTATCCACTAAGAGATGTTGGCAGTATCCTTGAACCATCGCTAAACTTGGTCCAGGCAGGTTCAGCTGTGTGCCCCTCTCACACTTAGAACCTGGCAACATCCTTGAAGAAACACAACCAGATTATGCCTAGTTTGCCCTAACACCATCACAGATTTTCCTTTTTTGCAGGTTATTTGTATTAAGGAGGTCTTGAAATCTGTGGGCTAGCACTTCCATTGACACATACTTCCCTGGGGGATGGAGCATGCACTGCAGCCTGCACCCTCAGAGATTATTTGAAAGACCATTAGGTGGTGAGTGGCAATGGCTGTGCTGTTGCAGGGGGATGCTGATCCTGCTGATCCTGCCCCTTCCCTCACATCCCATGGGTTGCCTCTGCGGAAGCAGCCCCTGCATGCACAGTACCTGCCGTTCCTGGTGTCATGTTGCCGCATGTTCTTGATAAAATGAACCTTCTTAAAGTTCTTTGGTCTGGGTGATCCTGAGAGTGTCCGACATCTGAAAAATAAATCAGTTGCAAGGGAGGGGAGGGAGAAGAAAAAAAAAAAAGTTCTCAGTTCCCTGCTGTACCGCCAAGAAGTCTACACAAAAGCAGGAAGGAAAGACGAGACAAATGATTCAAGTCACCCTGTGTTAGGAATCAGCAAGAACAATAAAGACAATAAGTCTGGAAACACGACAGCTCAAAGAAAAAAAAATATTTAAAATAATAATGAGAAAAGGCACCATCCCCCTCCCTTCATGCAAAAAAAAAAAAAAAAAATCATTAAAAAAATCTCAGCAAAGTAAAACTTCCTGTAATCTGCCATGACAGTTTAGCCCAAGCTTTCAGAAGAAAAAAAAAATTAAACCAAACCAAAACCTAGTAAATATGCAATTTTCCCCACTCGCACCAACACCCATGCTTTTGTATGCTCCTCAGCTACTGATAAAGGAGCCATTGAGGGAAGTTCTTTCTTGTTTCAATTTTAGAAAGATTTAAAATCTCCTATTTGCAAAGATAATTCCTATTTGATTTTAACTCTAAATATTACTTTTCACATTCCTGACAGCACAAAAAAACAACTGAAAATAAAATTAACTACCCCAGGAAAAAAAATAATCACTCTTCAAAACATTAAGCCTTAAATCTATTTTACATCTGAATGCGCTTTATAAATTGCAGTTACAGAAAGAAATTGCCAGAGGGAGGAGAGATGAGACAAACAGCAATATCCTCCCCCTGCCTTCCACCCTTGCTCTTTCTAATCAGCTGAAACCACAGCGCATGTGAAAGCGGTCTCTGTTTCATCTCAGCGCTGTTTTGCTGCAGGGCGAGGCAGAGCTCGAAGGCACTGCAGATGAGTCCCGTGCTCTCAGCACAGCCAGGGCTGGACCGTGGCTGCTGCATCCTCCGTGGCACCTACGGGACCAGCATCCTCTGCCAGTGCATGGATGAGCTTCCCTAACCTATCTTTTCCATCCTCTCCTTGCATGGGCAGAGTTCAGCAGCTCCTCAAGCCCATGAGGTCATTATCTTGGACTGAAACCACAGACTACTGTGCCAGTCCCTACCACTGTACCCAAACACCATCATGCTGCACAGGCACACCCCGAGAGGGGCACCCCATCACTCTACCATTTCTGCCTCCCTCCTGCTAGCAAAGGCCTTGAGATTCCCTCACCCTCTGATTGCAATTAGCCTTGTTAGCTTCTTCACAGGAAAATGGCACCAAGAGAGACATTCTACCACCAATTCTGCAAATTAGCAAGCAAAAATACTGCCTGGCAAACCATACTTTGTTTATATCTTTTACAAATTATACATGTTTGAATCACTTATGGGAACACTTCATAACATGCTGGTAAGCATGCAACAGTGAGCTTTGTAAAAATAATCAAGCTTTGGTAATAAGCCAATTGGTACAGCCTCTGCTATTCTTTGCTTCGAGGTAAGGAGAGACAGCCAATCTGCATGTGGATAAACAAGGCTGTAGGCTCAACACCAATATAAACCAGCTGAATTACAGGTCCTAAGATAAAGAGGCAGTCAAACTTAGGCTGCTGTCCTGCCGAACAGCTGACCTGGAAGCATTCCATGCACTGCTCAGATTACTGACCAGCCAGCTTCTGAACTGTTAAGCAGTTGCTCCATTTTCCATCACCCCAGAGGATTGCCTAGCGACAAATTACTGTGGTCCCCAGAGGAGGAAGCTGTGGTCTCCCAGATGCACAAATCAAACCACACTGAAGCAGCCAATATAACAAGGATGGGAGCAGTTTTATTAGTGGGGTAGCAGTCACAAACCTACCAGCCAACACACAGACAGCAATGCTGGTAACCAAAATAAGCTTGCATGTGCTTGAGTGAATGGACAGTAAAAATTCATTAAAAATAGCAGCCTTCAAAAACTTACTGTATTAAACCATCTGTACATACTTTTTAAATGTACCACAGATGTTAGGGTATTACTGACTAGGGGCTAGTCATTCATATTGGTGACAACAAAACGTTTCTATTAATCAAATCTGGCATTTTAATTCCTGACATTTCGTCTAAATACTGCCTTTTTGTTTAATGACCTAAAGCCAGGGAATGGGCAATTCGTATCAGCCACCACCTTAGAGGGCGTGTGAAGTTTCAACACTTTTACTCACTATGAAGAATATCTTAATGTGAAGACCCAGCTACTTTTCAACATGAGGAGGGAGAGCAAGCCTGCCCATGCATGTGCTTTACAGACAAGAAGCCAGAAAGAGAGTAAATAAAATGACCTCCGCAGTGGGGCATTTTCCTCGATGTCCTCCAGAGTCTCCAGAGAAGATCGCTGGGAGATCAGCCGACGTCTGCAGAGAAAGCAGAACACAAAACATCACTGCTGATTAGAGGGCACAAGGAAGTCTTCAGAGCTGTTACTGAGTAAAGATCACAAACCGCCCTCCACTAGCCAAGCCACACCTTTGGATATTAATAAATTTTGTTCCGTTCTGCTTATCTTGATCTGTTTGATTCCACCCAGAAGCAAACTTACTCCATACAAGCTGCTACAGCAAAGCAGAAGTTTCAGCTTTGCAACAGCTCCTCCTCAATTTGTGCTCCCCTTCCTCCAAGGGTTTAACACCCATCTAACACAGTCCCGCATATGCTGCAGTACAGCTGGCAGCGCTACAAGTAGAGAGCTCTGACAAAATAACGCAGACATAGATCCACAGAGACTGCCTGTCCTTCACACTGCCACAGGGGCACTTCTCTTTGGCCCTTGCACTTTCTACTAAGCAAGTGCCACTTGTTTCTCCACGATGTTCATCTCATCACTCCTGTGAGGAGTGTCTCAAGTGAGATGAAAGATGATAGTGCCAGCAACACTGGTTATAAAGCAGCAGTTTAAACAGAAGCGCTGACCATTCCCATGAGCAGCGCAGGTGAAGCTAAGCTCTGTTTTAAACCATTTTCCTATGTCTGAGTCATATCCTTCCTCCACCTTCAAAGAAATCATTATGGAAATCTTAGCATTACAGCTTTTCTGGCTGTTCTAGCAGGCAGGAAAGATGCCCCAGTAGAGGCTTTGTTCTAGCAGCCATTGCTGCTGCACAACCTCCAAACACCCTGACAGCAGCACAAAACAAGAACTGCACCCAACCCTCCACAAAACCACTGTAAATACCATAAATGAATGTGTAAGACACAGCCCAACCGCAGGCACACAAAGAGAAATTAAGCTGGCAATCACTGAAGCTACTCCGTCGTCGATGGGCGTCAAAACAGCTGCAACAGCCAGCAGAGCCGTGGCACTGTGCCCCAGCACCCGGCTGGCAGGAGCTATGCCAGCACCCATCGATCCCCAGGGCCATGGCTCAGGCACAGAGCACCTCTCCAGCGACTTCATGAGTAGGAATGACAAAAGTCTTCAAAGACTATCACTATTTCTTGTATCACTATTTCTTGCCCAATTCCCACTGAGCTGCCTTACTCCCTTGATCTGCAAGCAAAGAGTTTCTAGAATGTCATGAGCACTGCTATATGCTTGAAAGGTGCTCATTAATTTATTTCCGGGCTGTATTTTTACAATCAATTGTTTTCTCTGTTGGTAGTGTAAGCAGTTTCTAATCCTTCCTGCAATTTCCTTGCCCCTCCAGTTGTGCTGCTACAACTGTTCCTGCAGCTGTGCTGCAAATCTGATTACCAAAATGTTTTTCAGTTCAAAATAACCCTGAGGTTCAGTGATTCCATTTGTTATTAATTCAAACACCAAATTTCTATCACTAACCCACAGACAATGCATTTCAGGACAATTTGAATTGTCCTGCAGCTTCTTCTGTCCTTAGAAAATCATAGAAAACCCCTCAAACAATTTATAGATCAACTAAGTGTGAAGCATAATCCTCTTAGGAAAAATATGCAAACCTAAATCCCCTCGGGCTTTGTCTAAACTAGGATTTTAGGAGATCTGGTGCAAGATAAGATATACCTTCAAAATGCTAAAAAAAGAGTCTGCATTTCAGGATGTGCTGGCATAGACAAGGAAGAAGAGACCAAACACCTTTCTCCTGCACCCATGGGTGCTCCCACATCTCCACCCATAATCAGAGAGGACACAGGAATGCTCTTATTGAGAGAAATTCAGATCAGGAGGAGGAGCTCCTCCTGCTTTTTCAGTTTCACTGATCCATAAGCAAAAGCTGGAAGTTTCAACTACCAGCACCACTGGTAGGTGACGTGGCACATGATAGCTGCTGGCTTTTTAATACCTCTTTATACATCATTAGCTTAATAACACAAATAATGGCATGCTCCCATCTTGTGGTGTTACAACACCAAAAGCATACTTGGAATGTTGTTAGTCAAAGGATTTAAACAATGGTACAACCTTGCCACCTTCTTCATACTAAATGTATCAAATTAGTCACGCTGTAGCTCCTGTAGATGCCAGGTGCCTGTACAGCACCAGGTGCATATTCCAGCTGCCACTGAAGCCTTTTTCCAAGAGTCTCCTCGCCCAAAGTTATGCACCATCCTCAACTTCATTGCCCATAGCTTGTCAGGTAGGGTTTGAAGATCCTGAATTTGTGTCTGTCGTCAGGGCAGATGCGCTGGGTGGCAGGAGCACACACAGCTGTGTTCCACCAGCTGCTCACCCAGCTGCCTGCTGGGGTCCTCTGCCTTCCCTCACTGCTCTCAACTTCTTAAACCCAGCACCACGTGTCTGTTGTCAGGGCAGATGCACTGGGTGGCAGGAGCACACACAGCTGTGTTCCACCAGCTGCTCACCCAGCTGCCTGCTGGGGTCCCTCACTGCTCTCACCTTCTTAAACCCAGCACCACACATGCTGCCTCCTGACTTTTGCTTGCTAACCTCAAATGCAGCATAGGCTGGATGGGAATCACTGCCACCCCTCTCGGCATGAAACCTCGCACCAATTCTCACCAGTACTGCTTTTGCAGAGTTTTGGGTACCTTACGTGGCAAGTGAGTTGGCACAAAGGAGTGGCGGGAACTCTTTGTTCACCCAAACTTGGGAGAGGAGCATTGATGCCTGAAATCCCTCTCAACTAGGGCATGATACAAGCATAACTCTGGATAAATCCATCCAGGAAGAAAGGAAGAAAACACACAGAAAAGGTACTGGCACAGGTAGCAGTGAGAGCAAAGATATACAGCCCAGCCCCCAACCCAGCTGAAAACCGCCACATCTTTCAGCTCTTCCCAGAATTATTAGTTTTAATCACTTGAACTCCCAGCACTGTCAAAGGAGCACCAGAGAGGTGGATTTGGAGCAACTCTGTTGAAATTGGTTCATACTGTCCAGGAATCACATCCTCTTTTCACTGAAGAAGCTCAGCTGCAATGAAGGATTTACAATTATTCCACTTTATCTTAAATCTTTATTTCAAGGCCTAATTAAGATGACCTAAATACCAGTATTTTATAAGCTTTCCACAGCTGGATACTATATTAAAAATGCCAACTAATGAACCTACCTGCTGTGAACAAAGTCACATCCTGTGCCACACACAAGGGACAAGAAACAATTCTGGAAAAGGAAAGCTTTTGAAAGGATCTTCCAGGGAATACAAGAAAAATCAGTTTTCCACTGACTTCATTAAGAATTAATCATCTCAACTGGTGTTTAGTATTTAAATTAATCATCTTTCTCTCTTCAGGCAAGCAGCCAGGGTTTGTCTATACAACTCCTAAAACGGTTATTTTTCAAAAATTGATTAGCATGCTATAGCAGCTGGTAATGTAGACACTTGCACTGAAATAACCCAAACTGTTTCATATCACACATCACCATCATTCTGATGTAAAGCTGTGTTGATACCTATTTTGTGTTTTAAAATGCCCTATTTCAATAATAATTATGGGAAAATCATTCTACTGTGGAGGAAGAATATATGCAGAACAAAACAAAACAGCACTCTGTGACTCACACAGGATTCAGGCTTTGGGGTAAGTCTCTAAGTAGATGCAATTTCAAAATAAAATGCTTTAAAACTTTTGTAGACTAAATGTTAAACTAACACAAAAAATACAATTGACCTTAATAACCAAATCAAAGATGTTTCAACAAAAATGTTAATTTCTCCTAGTCCACAGAAAGCCTTAAAAACTTCCTCCTAGTTTAATCACCACATTCTAGGTATACCAAACTCACCCTTGCTCCCTACAGAAAAAGGCAGCTCAGTGCTGGAAAGATGATGACCTCCTCATTCCAATCATCAGCACTTGCAGGACAATGGTCACAGTCTCATGCAACTTACAGACTTGTTTTGTTTAAAAACCATATAATATCACTTTCCCTTCTCCACCTACCTAAAATACTTTTTGTCTGTTTCCTTGCTGTTGGTTCCCTGTGCATGTGCCCAGAAATAACCAATACCCTGCAATCAAATTCCAAGTGCAGACCAAAGAAAAAAACATATGAGAGAGAAATTTGATGCCACGGTATTTTAAATGGCTGTTTTCTAAGATACTCATGACCCTGCTTGCATACTGGATTCATCTTTGACCAGCTGTCTGAATCTCTGTGGAAGTTTCTTAAAAGCTAAAATGTTGTCTTCGTTTCCCCTCTCCAAAGTCAGATTAATACATGGCTCAGTTTCAAAAATGAAATAAAATAAAATAAAAGGGCAAAAAAAAAAAACCCCAAACTAAATACAAGGAAAAATAAAATAAGGCAGGTCTGTAGCCAAAACAGCAAATTGCCAAAGCAAGAAGACTGCAAACATATTCACTGTAAACACCACATCAGTCAGTGGAATATTATCTTTGCTCTCAGCTGCTGCAAAATACTCAGCTCAGTTATGTTAAACATACAAAATCTTAAGCCACATAGACAGGAGGTGATAAAAAAAAAAAGAAGGAGCTGCAATCAGAACACTAAAAAAAGAAGGAGCTGCAATCAGAACACTGGATAAATTCATTGAGGAAGGAAGGAAGGAAGGAAGGAAGGCAATGATAATCCAAGAGATAAGGAAAAATAAATCCATGTGTAATGACTTTCTAGCACAGCTACAAAATCAGCAAGAAAAAACTGCATTTCAAATACAACTTATTTCTGTGAATGTTGGGTGTGTAATTTTCCCCCCTGCTTCTGTTAAAATCACAAACCTGTAACAGCTGAAGCCAGCAGGGTGGGTACTGCTGGCTCCCAGAACAAAAAACACCCCTTCAGAATAAGCTTCTTCACTTTGTCTGGAACAACTGCATCCCTTCAAAGATGCAGTGACAAGGGACACACGAGTGCCAACCATCTGAACACCTGCTGGCTGCACTAACACTGACGGGAGAACTTGGGAGGAAAAAGACATTCCCAGAGCTGAAGACTGTTGGCAGTTCCCACATC